CGGTCTGGGTATTAATGTTCAAAAAATGACCTGCGGAAACAAGAAGTATTTTAAAAAAAAGTCCGGTTTTCCCCGGTGTGATCAATTTTCCCGATTTCTGGAAAATGGAGCAACTTTATTAAAAAAAAAAATACATTCGAAAAGTAGACACTGTAAGCTTTAAAATGGTGTGCATTGAATAACAATATAATGAAATATGAGTTTTTAATTACTGCTTATTTCACAGATTTCTAGAACTCCGAAAACGTATGAAAAATGCAAAAAAACAAATCAATTTTGTTTTAAAACGCCAGGAAGATACTGGAAAAAAATTTCTGAGATGATTCGAGACGTCTCAAGATCCCATTTAAAAAAAAATGGGATAAAAAACTATTAAAAGAAAAAAAATATGAATGAATTACTATAAAGTGGTCCAAAATAGTGGGAAAACGCAACTTTGACCCCTTTTTCATTGTTCTTGACAGGAAATAACGGGCTTTAAGGCACATGGATCGATACCTATGGATTTTTCCATTATAATGAACTTTGAATCATCGAAAAATATCAATTTTTGACCGAGTTCTGAAACAATTTGTCCACCCGTTTACAAGCTAATCAGCATTGCTATAGAGATAAAGCAGGGGCTGAACGAGGGTAATTTTGATTGCGGTTATCTCGAAACCTGTCGAATTCCCGACAAAAATGGGACCATTTTTGTAGATAATGATAAGATCTTTCTTTTTTATCTAAACAAAAATTCTCTAATTAGCATATTGTGGAAGATATTGGCGGAAACCAGTTTTAGGGTCCATTTTGGGCCCTTTCCGACGCAGCAGAGTTGGTAAAAGTTTTCGACCTTGGAAGCGACCGCCGAGACCTAAGAGTTGAGCCACAACGGAAATCTGGACCGACTTAATGACAGGTTGGTCCCTTCAGTTAAAGGACTATATTTTTCGTTTTCTATTTCTTTCCTTGCTTGGTTACCATGTATTAGGGGGTTACCGTTAAGTCGGGTGACTTTGACCCGCATGGATGACTTTAGCTCAAATCAGTAAATAGTTATTTTTATTCAGAAAAAATTATATGTCCTATTTTTAATATAAAACACGCTGGTTGCACTGTAAATTATTAAAACTACCCAAAACACTTTATTTAAAGACAATTGGTCGCTTAAGCTTTTTGTAGTATAAAAAATTTAACTCATTACAAAATAATCGTAATTGAAAGGTGATAAAATTTGTATGCAGCCAACAATACTACTGTTTGTAATTATTTTTGTTATTATCTTTACCGTAAGCAATAAAAAATATTTTTTTAATGATAAAATGTGTTTTACTATCAACTGTAATGGGTGGCTTTAAATCAGCAAGTAATATTATAGATAAAACAATATAAAATGATGGGTGAGTCAAAGTCATCCTTTACCTGCGGGTGGTTTTGCACACCCCTTTTTTATTTGAAAAATTAGACCATTTGAGATATTTTTGCTTAATAATTCTTAAAATATAACTGAAGACTAAATTATGGCGAAAATGCGAATTTGGATTTTCTTTTATTTAACAATCGAAACTAGGTTTAAATTTTGACAGTGTGTCAAAGTCACCGGACTTTACGATACTCCCTTGATGCGTCATATATTTTTATTATTACCAAATAGTTTCTCTTGGCCTAATGACCGTCTAGTTCCAAAACTAGTTGCCATTAAAAGTTTTTTTTTATTAATTTTGTCTATCACATGAAAAATACTTCCTAAATTAAATTATTTTTCTCTCACTTTTAACATCGATATTCGAAAATATGTTACCCATTCCAGTCGTTTCTCGAGGCATAATCGTAAGTTTAAACTCATTACGAAGATGTATACAACAATTCAGGAAAGCTTCTTAATAATTTCTAAGACTTTTAAGAAAATTAAGACTTGCAATATTCAAAGAGAAGCGGCAGGCGTTTTAATAAAATATTTAGCAGCCGTTCAAGAACTCTTTTGGGACAATTTATCAATACTCACTTCCAACAAGTGGAAGAGGAGAAACAAGAGGAAAACAGCAATAAGATCTCGGAGTGATGGAAGCTGAAATATATTTATCTAGTGCTTGGCATTCTTTCACGTTATTTCACGCTATATTATGGAGCTCTTTTTTCTCCATTTTATCTAGTAAAACTTGAGCTAATACAGTTAACGAAAAAAATATTGCAATTTTATACTAGGTAAACCGTGAAAATTTTAGCAAGTTACAGTGTGTACGAATTAATTTTATTTATAGTTATTTTGTTTAATAAATATATAACAATTCAGCTAATCTTAAAAATTAACCAACATTTTTAAAGTGTTTTAATTTTCTAAGTAATCTATAATATATAAGATATTAGAAAAATGCTGGGACCTGATTAAAGAGGGGGGCATCTTTCTATTATATCCTCAACTGACATTCATCACTTCTTTCCCCCCTATTACTTATTTTAAAGAGGGAAAGTAACTGCAAGTACAACATATCACTAAAATACTAATTTTATGGTAACTGTATCAATGTGACTATTAATTGCCTGCGACCTTTAGTGATCCATATTGGTTTACCACTAAATTTATTTTTGAAAATATAAAATAAAAATATTGACAATTATATAAAGATTGTTAAAATGACATTTTGTATATAAATTCCTGCTTCGGGTTTTTTTCATGTTCTGGTTTCTTTCACCAGCGTAGTCATATATATTCAGGCCTACTTGGATCTTCTTTCCATATTGACAATCCTGTAAAGATTTGCAAAAAAGAAGTGTAGCTTAATCAGTAACAGTCATGTTATTGAAAAAGAAGAAACCATATGGTTGTCATTCCAAAAACATTGCATATAACCATGAAAATTAAAATAATGACATAAAATGTCAAACATGAAAGAATAACTAAAATATTGTGCTCGCCAAGTAAAACGTGTTACGTATTATAAAGTTTAATACTTTATTTGACAGCTAATTTTATTAGTAATGCTTGGCATAAATTTGTTATTTTGGTTGATTTCGATTAAAGTTTATAGTCCAAGAGCTAGTAACACACATTAGGTGTTTGATACACTTTGAAATTTTGTAATTTGAAATCGTCTGGATGGAAAAGCAGATATACCTGTGTTGGCTAGACCCACCCCGGGACACCAGGTACTGCGCATAATAGAAAGGGGTCGTAAAATATGACCCAAAAGTGTTTGATTCAGAGGCCAACAAACAACAATTGAAAGTTTAGGTAATTCTAAAAATACTAGTAATTTAGGCAGACACTTTTGAGAGGGTTTATAATTAATAAATCAACCCCAAAGTTGATTTTTTTTAATATGATTTGAAGTGTTTGATTCACACTGAAATTTTAATAGCGTCTTAATTAAATATAAAAAAAATTGATTTCAAAAAGGCAGACACTTTTTCCAGGGTTTAATTGCCGGCCAACATAAAAATGAATGAACCTCGTTATGCGCCACTATGCATTGAAAAAGTATATCCTTAATCAAGAATTAAAGGATCAAAGTGTATTAGGACCAAAAGAAAGCAATAACCTGGAATAACAATTATAAAAATGTATTGGCAGATTGGTCAGTCATCCTTGCTTACATTAGGAAATAAATTACTTCTTTACAAGACCATAATCAAAGCAATTTGGTTGTCCATCTCTCAGGAACTGCCAATCACTTAATCATTGAAATACTAGAGCGTTTTTAATCTAAAATATTAATAAATAACCATTACAAACACTCCTTTGTATGTACCTGTTATGGTAATCCACCAAATCCTCAAAGTCATTAATGTTTTAGAAGAAATTAAAAACCACCATACAAAATTCCTAGACAAATTAAATACACCTAAACACACTTGCAATCTCTTGGATAACTAGAAGATATAAGATGAATGAAAGGGTTTAGAACCCTGAACCTGCTTTATAGAATCGAATGTCCTCTAATAATTTTTTAATTTTGACATATAAAGTGACATTTTTTTATAATCGCAACCAGTTGCATAATGTTGAACATTATGAAACCGGTTTCGAAAAATTTACCAGTTGCGAAAAGAAAACAAATGAAAATAAACCTCTTTTGGTTTTAAAATCAATAATATACATTACATATACAATAGTAATATTGTTGTTTTGGTTCTTATGTTCCGGACCAAATCAGCACAAAATATTTATAACACAATACACAACACTATAACCCGCTTTTTGATAACTAAATAACTTTAATAAACAATATAAACATACTGCGAGTCGTTATGAATAAATAATAATGTTCTAATCGTAGTTCCAATTGTAAATTAAATGATGCGTATGCAACTAACACTACAAGAAAGTAATATTGATTGTCTAAATGTCAGTATTAATTAACCAAAACACAATTTTAGTCAAAATTTGGAAAATTATTTTATGTAACACGTTATGAAATGCCATTTTATGTAACTCGTTCATGTTGCATTTCGAAACTGATTTCATAAATTGCCATTACATAACTATAATTTACAAAAATTTATTTTTAATTAATTTAAATGAATATAAAAACAAAATTGGACGTTTACTCTAATAAACACTTTAATATTTTCAATACAATAATAATTATAAATGTTCACAGGAGTAAAAAATACATGTGAATTTATTTGTGGAATTTTATTTTATTATAAAATATAAATAAGTGAGAAATTAATATAAATCTCTAACAGTTTTTGATCAAATATCCTTTAGATTCTGATAAATACTATTTTTTTCGTGATTATCATTGTCATTTGGGTTATTACTACCTAAAATATCTAGGAATATTGTTATCCATACATTTATTTATACATAGTTCAGCTCAGTATTAGTGCCCTTTAATATTAGTACCTTTTCCCCATACCCCAGTATTCTCACAAACTCACATACAAAAACCTACCCATAGTACTAAAAGAAAAACTACTCTCATGCATTTTTGTGCGATCGACACCATCGATCGTACGATCTTATCCCGTATCAAACCACACCAAGTCACATTTTTTTGTGGGCAATTTTGCAGCAGGGCGTAAGGTTTGACCCCGACATGCCACAGACCATCCGACTGGAGTTTGCTAAAAGTAACACGAAGGTTAGCAAGCCCAAACAGCAAGCTGCTAACGCCGCCAACACGCACCCAACTTTGATGCACCCCCTCACCGGACGTAAGTACACGGCACTCGATTCTGGCGGTACTGATAGATCGATCATCATCATTACTATTATATCAATATACCTATTACTAAAGAACAGTAGGTAGCGTCAATAGCAAGAAATAACTAATTATATTACCCAATATCTCTATTCTTAAGCAGGTTAAGAATCTTAAATGTTCTAACAATGGATTTCATTTATTGCACTAGAGTTACACTCGACACTGTAGTCGAACTGTCTTACTTGTCAAAAGTATATGCTACACTCAAATATTTGAAGCTACACTGAACAAATCAAATGCGATTAATGCAGAATGCTTACGTCTAGTGCAACAAATAAAATCTACTATAATATTCTCATACGCATGCGCTCCAATGTCCAATGTCATGCTAATATTCTTATATGCATATCCTGTATTGTTTACTTTCTATTATAAAAATAAAGCGCATGTGTTTAATAGTAATAAAAATCCCAATAAAAATAAACAGGTGTACCTATCATCGCTCATTTGTCAAATTAAAAGTATCTTACCAAAATCCTTTATCTCAGTAATACCAACTTTAATACATGTTTCTGACAAGAATGACAGATAATCTCAATTGTTTAAAATGATTATTTTTCAAATGGTACTTATATAAATATAATTAATCTTATATTTCATATTACCTATATGTTTTTAAAGATTAGTGAATTATATTTATATAAATTTAAAAAATTAGCAAGTTTTCAGCAGATTTAAATTATGGAGCTTATCTGTCATTGTTGTCGTATCTAAGTTGGCATCACTGACACTATATGGTATTCGTCTATTAAAAAGTAGAAGATGGGATGGATCTCTTTAATTTAGAATTTACAAAACAGAAATATTTAATTTAATGGGAATATTATGGGCTATGTCCCGGATAATTTTAAAAGTATTTTTAAATATACATGGTCATCCATTAAAAAGTTACACAACAATATCCTTTTCTAATAGAATTTCATTAAGGTGAGTACAGCACCCCCTTATAATTTTCGGACAAGCATATCTCAAAAACTAATTTTTTTTAAAAGTTAAAATTTTGGCAAAATAAATTAGGTATCTAGAATATGCTTATATTTTAAAGTTTTAATTATTTTTAGTTTCCAAGAAAAAAAATCAAAGGGTTTAAAATTTTAAAATATCATAATGAAAATAAATGCATTCCTCAATAGCAGTATTCTTAATATAATCCCCAAATTTAAGCTCCTAATCTCTTGTTAATGATTTTTTAAAATTCGCCGAAATTAGTGGCTAAAACACCTCGTTAAGTGCTATTTTCTGGTTTAAACTGGTGTAAATCATTGCAAGAAACGAATGATGACTCGGAGTGTACGATACGATAGTTACAGACGCGTTACACCAGAAAGCAGCACTTAACGAGGCGTTTTAGCCACTAATTTCGGAGAATTTTAAAAAATAATTAACGAGGGATTAAGAGCTTAAATTTGGGGATTATATTAAAAATACTGCTGTTGAGAAATGCATTTATTTTCATTATGATATTTCAAAATTTAAAGCCCTTTGATTTTTTTTCTTGGAAACTGAAAATAATTAAAACTTTAAAATATAAGCATATTCTAGATATTATTACGTAATTTATTTTGCCAAAATTTAAACTTTAAAAAAAATACTTTTTGAGATATGCTTGTGCGAAAATTATAAGGGGGTGCTGTACTTACCTTAATGGAGACTAGAATCATTACAATATCCTCTAAAATTGTTTTGTTAACATCAGAGCAAAAAATATTTTTGTGAAAAGAAAAATCAGGACTCTCTATTATTAGTTGCCAAATTTTTAAATGAATTATTTAAGATTCGGAAATTTAAGTAACTTTAAAGGACCAATAAATCAATTTTAATTTTTTACCGAAAAGACCGAAAAATTATTAAATTCAATTTCAAAAGAATTTTTTCATATTTTTTTATTTTTTTTTTAACGAAATGCTATATTTTTTAACTCTATAGATAAACTATTATATTCCCAATTAATTTAGGTACTGTACCTAGGTGTATACTATCACTTTATGAGTTAAAAAATTTAAAATTTTTCATTTAAAATATCTTAAGTGAAACATAGCTATAAGTTTTTTCATTTCGTACAAAATTAATTAATTCATGTATCCTTTCTTTAGAGTCACTTAAATTTTTGATGATGTGGCTCATTTAAAGATTTGGTAACTTAAAAGACATTTTTAAAATTTTGCACAAAAACGTATTATAGTTAATTTGAACAATAATAGAGAATAAATTCCAAAAAATGTTTTATAAAACATTTATTATAATAATATATTTAACAATTTTATTTATTAAATTAGTTTTGATCGCAAAACATTTCTAGGAATTTAATTCAAATTAAAAATAGAAGGTTAATAAAACTATTATGATTTTTTTTGTAACGATTCTAGAGCTTCAATAAAAATATGAATTACGTTAAATTTCATAAAAAAAATATTAGTGTTGTATAACTTTAAAATGGATGTATGGAAACATTTTTGAAATTATTCTGTTTAGTTTTGTACTGTCATCGATTAGGATTTTGATAATTTTTAAAAAGTTTTAAACTACTCAAAAATAGTACATTATTTTTAATGGCTTCGAATATTATTAAAAAACACATACATAAAAAAAATTTAATAAGCCAAAATTCTAAATTTTTGTTTCGTAGTAGTTAGACTTAATTAGAACTGTAGGCCATTTGGCCTCCCCCCCTCTCGACTTTTTGTAGTAATTAGCATATTTAATTAGTCATTACTGAATATCTGAATATGGTAATAAATAAAAACAAATTTTAATGAATAATACCAATTTTAGATTAGATTTACCGAATAGGTAAATTTCATGAAAACTAGTCTGTACAAAATTTGAATTCTGGTGAAACGTATTTTTTTTGTAATAATTATAATTAGTTTTTAAGCTGTTGACGTTAACTGATAGGTATTAACTAAAAATAAGAAAAATATATAGGTTAAATAAAAATATAAATCCTTACTCTGGTCAATTCTGACATTTTCAAGCTATGAAACAAAAATCGATCTATCAGATACTCTAGTTTCTTTTGTAATCCACTGTTCTCAATAAAGGAACAGTCGCTATACCTTCCCGCACACCCCTTCCTCCACCATATATCCTTCACCATCCAAGCATCACTTGTAGTCTACTAAACGAATAAGAAAATGAGACTAATTAGCCTTACGAATGCATCCTAATATATCTAGGAGAGCAATAGGAAATGTTGCAATGTATTTTATGTTTTAGGTCTTGATGTAACAATTCTGAGAAACAACATTGTTTATTTTGGTTTAGAAGTAATATAAGAGCTCTTCGATAAGTTCGTGAAAAATGAAAGAGTAGAATGAATCAAGTACAATTAATGAAAATCAAACCGCCCTTGGAAGAGATCCCGACAGTTAGCCGTTTAGTATGTAGGAAGAATATTTTATTTTACATTTTTCTTCGTAAGAAATCATTTTTGAACCGTCATCTCGTACTCCAAACGTATCCATCTCTTTTGGAACAAAATCAGTTTATGACGTTTATAAATATGTTCACCTTCATCTTCTCTGTTTTCTTTATCAAATATTTTTTAAGGAGCTCAGCTAGTGTATGAATTTGTCTAATATACTTAGACCGAAATTCTTATAATATTATTGATTGTCCTTTTAAAGCACCCATTGATTTCTAAGATAATCATTTGATCAAAAAGGATATCTACATTTTACTCACAAAATTATTTGTCTTTTATATTTCTTTGTTATACATGTTGAATTAAGTTTGTTTCTCATCTAGTTCTTGTGTAAAGATATCTATATCTGTAACGTGTGGATGGAGGATTCACTAGACCCATTGTGCATCCTTCTAAGATGATAGGCACCTCCTAGCTTGTGAGCCATCCCACAGATTTAATGTAGTTGACTCATTGCCAAGAAGTGGTTATTTTATACCGGCTGGTGTTAGCCAGTTCTCACCTAACAAATCTTCTAATAAATGAGAGTGTCAGGCAATCGTAGAGGATATGCTCGATGGTCTCATCTTTTTGTTCGTACTCCTCCCTGCAGAGGTACAGATTATGTCTAGTCATAGTTAAGTATTTGTTTTTTGTAGTGTTGTCAGGATAACTCAAAAGCTCCCTGGCAACTCTGCAGTTTCTTGTTTCATTCCATCTTTCCTTGAATTTTACAAGGGAATGTTCTTTAATTAAGTCTGTGACTACCGATTTTGTCAGTTCAATAGAAGGGCCAGGTGTCCAAAAATTATTTGGTTGGCGGCCTTCTTGGCTAGTAAATCAGCAATTCGGTTACCTCTCGATGTGGAGTGACCTTTAATCCATCGTAAGGTGACCACATTGTTGATGGATACTTCGGCCAAAGCTTCGTGACATAGCTTCGTGACATTCTAGTACTACTGTTCAGGGTGAGTAGTGCTTGTCTGCTATCTGAGTAGAAGAGCATGTTTCTTTCAGTGATATTGTTCCTGGTGATTTCTTTTGATGCTATGAGAATCCCTGTAAGGACGATTTAAACTACACTAGCACTATTGCTCACAGCCTATTTTATGTTAAGGTTTAAGGATCTGGAGTATCTTTGAAAGCTAGTTTATCCATTCTATATAGTACTAAAGTAAAATTATACGTTACCTTGTTAATGTAAAGACTTAATTTTTTGGTACAATATCAGAGTGCTAAATCACATTATATTTTGTCTCCAAGAACGTGGTCATTTCAAATTTTAGATACCTTAAAACATGCTCCACATCCCACAAAATTGTTGCTTTAAATTGTCTGAAAAAGAAGTCTGAGTTTAACCTAGTTTTGGTGCCTTTCTTATGGTTCCACTGCACTCCATTGTACTCATCTAATGATGAATTGTTCTTGAGGAATTATTTTTACTAATTGCTTGTTTTTTTAAACAACTTCTTCAGATACCTGCATTATCTATAGCAATGGTCAATTCGAAAGTGCTAGATCTTTCTTTGTAGTTTCAACAGATCTTC